ATAGAACTTGGCTTCTATGTGTGCACATTTAACTTGAAGGTTTTTGAGAGCATTCACTCGACTTTTAACTACCCTAGGCAAGCTTTCAATGTATCCTGTTGGTGTTTCTACCAGACCATCAAGTCTTTCGTGGAGGGCTGCAAGAATCTGAGGATTTTGCATCATCTGAACAGTCAGCTGACGCGCTTTGATTTTTGTTTCTTCACCAGTTTCTTCTTCTTCTACTTCTTCAACATCATCCAAATCTTGATCAAGTTCAGACTGTTCTTTGTTGTCAATGTCTGCCATGTTTTAAGAATGCCAAATATCGGTGGACAGCACGGGGAACCGGGCGGCCGGAGCTGCGCAGGCAGTGACTCATAATCATATGGTTTTTATCTTTCATTTTGTTAACTTGATGTATCATGTTTACTGATTTACAGATGTTGAACTATCCTTGTGTCCCTGGGATAAATCCCACTTGGTCTTGGTGTATAATCCTTATTGAATCTGGTTTCTTAATATTTTGTTGAGAATTTTTGTATCTATGTTCATCAAGGATGTTGGCCTGTAATTTTATTTTATTTATTTAAAAAATTTTTTTGGTCAGTGTGATATTTTTATCTGGTTTTTGTCAGAGTAATACTGGCTTCATAGAATGAGTTGGGAAGCATTCATTCATTTTTTATTTTTTTGAAACTGTTTAAGAAAGATAGGTATTAATTCTTCTTTAAATGTTTGGTAGAATTTTCCTGTGAAGCTGTCTAGGCCTGGATTTTTATTTGTTGGGAATTTTTGTTTACTGATTTCAAATTCATGGCTAGTAATCAGTCTGTTTAGATTTTCTGTTTCTTCCTGGCTCAATCTTGGAAGCTTATGTGCTTCTAGAAATTTATCCACTTCTAGGTTATCAAATTTGTTGGCATATAATTGTTCATAGTGTTCTTTTATGATTCTTTGGATTTCTGTGATGTCAGTGGTAACTTTTCTGTCATTATGATTTTATTTATTATTGTGCTCTCTTTTTTTCTTGATGAATTTGGCTAACACTTGGACAATTTTGTTTCTTTTCAAAGAACCAGTTTAGTTATATTGATCTTTTCTATTGTTGTTTTTAAAAATTCTGTTCTGTTAATTTCCACTTGATCTTAATTATTTTCTTCCTTTGGATTTTGTTTGTTCTTATTTTTCTAGTTCCTTTAAGTGTAAAGTTAGATTGTTTATATCAGATTTTTCTTGTTTGTTGAAGTATGCCTCTATGGCTATGAACTTCATTCTTAAAACTGCTTTTGCTGCATCTCATAAATTTTGAAAAGTTGTGTTTTTATTTTCATTTGTCTCAAGGTAGTTTTATTATTTTTAACTTCAATGGGGAACATTGTGTTCCTCCAGGACCCATCAGCTCCAAGTCAAGCTGTTCTCTTCAATCTAGTTGTGGAGGGTGCAGCTGAGCTCCAAGTCAAGCCATTCTCTTCAATCTAGTTGTGGAGGGTGCAGCTCACTGGCCCATGTGGGAATCAAACTGGCAGTCATGGTGTTATGAGCCTGTGCTCTAACCACCTGAGCTACCGGTCACCCCTCAAGGTTGTTTTTTGATTTCCTATTTGATTTCCTCTTTGATCCATTGGTTATTTAGTACCATGTTGTTTAATCTCCATATAGCTGTGTTTTTTCCAGTTTCCTTCCTGTATTTGATTTTCAGTTTCATTCCATTGTGGTTGAAAAAGATGCTTGATATGATTTTAATTTTTTTAAACTTATTGAGGCTTGTTTTTTGGCCTAATATGTAATTTATCCTGGGGAATGTTGCATATGCACTTGAAAAAACGTTTATTCTGCAGTTTTTGGGTGAAATATTCTATAAATATGTATTAAGTTGATATGACCTAATGTGACATTTAAGGCCATTGTTTTCTTATTAATTTCCCATCTGGATAATCTATCCATTGATGTGAATGGGGTACTAAATCCCCTATTATTATTGTTTTACTGTGGTTTTCTTCCTTTATGTCCATTAATAGTTGCTTTATATACTTAGGTGCTCCTATGTTGGGTGTGTAAGTATTACGATTGTTATATTCTCTTCTTGGATTGGCCCCTGTATAATTATGTAATGTCATTCTTTGTCTTTTTTCTTTTTATTTTAACCTTCTTTGTTTTAAAGTCTATTTTGTCTGATATGAATATTGCTACCCAGATTTCTTTTTGTTTCTATTTGCATGGAATATCTTTTTCCTGAAGATTTCCCTGAAGATTCAGTCTATATGTGTCTTTGATTTGAAGTGAATCTCTTGTAAGCAGCATATAGATGGGTCAATTTTTTAACCCATGTCTTTTTATTGGAGTGTTTAGTTCATTTACATTTAAAGTAATTATTGATAAGTATGTACTTATTGCCATCTTGTTCATTGTTTTTGGTTGTTTTTATAGTTCTCATCTGTTCCTTTCTTCTTCTCTTGATTTCTTTTTGTAGTTTGCTGATTTTCTTTAGTGTTTTGTTTGGGTTTCAATATTATTTATGTATCTTGTAGGTTTTTGGTTTGTGGTTACCATGAGGTTTATGTATATCATTCTATATCTATAGCAGTCTATTTTTTAGCTGATAGGTGTTAAACTTTGAATATACTCTAAAAGGACTACAGATTTACCCCTCTTCCATGCTTTGTTTTTTTTTAAAAGATTTTTTTAATTTTTTTATTGGGGAATTGGGGGGATGGGAACAGTGCTGGGGAATTGGGGGAAGGGGAACAGACAAGTTGCTGTCGTTTTGTTCTTCAATCTAGTNGTAGCTCATGGCAGCCCACTGCAGCAGGGGCTGCAGCCTACACTGTCGCTGGCAACTCACGGCAGCCCAGCTCCAGGTTGAGCTGTTGTTCTCCATCTTAGCTGTAGAGGGCGCAGTATCACTGGTCCTCAAGTGGGATCTGAACTGGGGCCCTGCTGCTCAGAGCTGGTGTCCCAAGCCAACTCCTAATGAATGCGCCACTTGGCTGGCCCAGTAATAAGGACATCTTAACAATAGCAATTCTTCCAACCCATGAGCATGGTACATCCTTCCATTTATTTGTATCCTCTTAAATTTCTTTCTACAATGTCATAGTTTTCAGAGTACAGGTCTTTCACCTCTTTGGTTAAATTTATTCCTAGGTATTTTACATTTTTTGATGCAATTGTAAAGGGGATTGTTTTCTTAATTTCTTCTTCTGATTGTTCATTATTGGTGTATAGAAACGCCAAGATTTCTGTATCTTGATTTTGTATCCTGATAGTTTATTGGATTAATTTATTAGTTCTAATAGCTTTTTGGTAGCGTCTTTAGGGCTTTCTCTATATAGTATCATGTCATCTACAAATAGTGTAAGTTTTACTTCTTCCTTTCTGATTTGGGTGCCATTTCTTTCTTTTGTGTGATTGCTGTGTCTAGGACTTTCAATACTATGTTGAATAGATGTGGTGATAGCAGGCATCCTTGTCTTGTTTCTGATCTTAGGGGAAAACTTTCAGCTTAAATCATTGAGTAAGCTATTAGCAACAGGTTTGTCATACATAGCCTTCATTATGTTGAGGTATGTTTCTTCTATATCCACTTTGTTGATAGTTTATATTATAAAAGGTCGCTGAATTTTGTCAAATGCTTTTTCTGTATCTATTGAGATAATCATATGGTTTTTTGTTTGTTTTTTTTGTGAGAACTAAAATTATATTTGACATTTTTATTTTAGGCTGCAAAAACAAAAACAAGCAAACAAACAACAAAAAAAAACTTGAAATAGGCTTGTCAAATGATGAAAAGTCATCCTTTCCAGGGAAGCAGAAGGTAGACCATCCTGCTTCACTGCTGCTTGCACTCTGCTGGGTTTTGATCCTTCTTTGAGTCATAGTCTGGATCATTTTCCTCATCTTCTTCTTCCCCTTCCTCATCCGCTTCTTCACCTTCTTCATCATAATCATCATCATCATCTTCAATAGCTTCTCCAGTAAAGTATAACACTGATCTTGGGATTATACGCTCACGTAAAAAGTGACCAATTTCAAAGTCTGCAGCAAGGATAGCTTCAGCATCATCATCCAGGTCTCCACTCTCAGGAACTTCAGGAGGGGCGAAAAAATTAAAGAAAGAATCATTGGAAACCGTTTTGGTCACAGTACGAACTGTCCCTCGTCCCTTGTGTTTCTGCTTCTTTTTAATGGTTTTCAAAGTGACGTTCTTCCCTTTTTTCCAATCTATCTGGCACCCTGTACAACCCATAATTTCTGGTCCATCAAAAGAAAAGGGATCAGAATCATCTGGTTCTGACCGCATCCTGTATGTCTTTGTCAACACTTCATTTGTGAAATAGTCATTGGGTTCAAAGTGAAATTCTAAGACAAAACTCATAGGCTGGCCCGCATCTGAGAACTTCACTTTAATATCTTTCAAGTGCTTCAGAATAGGCTCGTCGTGTTCCTGAACCATATCACTGAGCAAGTCAACATTTTTAAAAACAGTCAACCAAAATTCA